CCCCCCCACACTCACCTGATCTCCGTGGAGTACAGCCCCCCACTCACCTGATCTCCGTGGGGTACAGCCCCCCCACACTCACCTGATCTCCGTGGGGTACAGCCCCCCACACTCACCTGATCTCCGTGAGGTACAGCCCCCCACACTCACCTGATCTCCGTGGGGTACAGCCCCCCCTCATCTGATCTCCGTGGGGTACAGCCCCCCCACTCATCTGGTCTCCATGGGGTACAGCCCCCCACACTCACCTGATCTCCGTGGGGTACAGCTCTCCCGTGAACAGGTACACGCAGATGAAGGAGCTGGCCAGGCAGCCTTTGCCCAGTGCAGCCTGTGCTGTGCGCAGGATCTGCATGTCTGAAGAGCGTGGGAAGGGGGGCTCAGGACCAGAGGGGAACCCTGTTTCCATCACCTGTGTTGTGTCCCCACCTGAGAGCCAGATGGCCTGAAACTGCCCTTCTCTGTCTTTGCCTCCTTCCTCCCTTACTGCCATCCATCACCAAGGCCTGCCAGATGCAAGACGAGGTTTGGAGTCAAAACCCCAAATCCATTGTTGTCTAGATGATTCTGATTCATAACAAATCAACAGCCAGAACAGAAGCGCCCACAAAGTTGTCAAAGCTTTACTGAGGCAAGGCTGTCGCTTCTTTCCCACACACAGCAGTGGATGGGTTTAAACCACTGACTCTTTTAGCAGCTGCACACTTAACTACAATGGCTCCAGGGCTCTGGGTTCAAATCCTGTCTCTGGCTCAGCTGAGTGACCCGAGTCAATGCCACCTGACCTCTCTGAGCTCCCGATCATCAGTCAGAAAATGTGGGAAAGAAGCAGCACCTGCTTCGTGGGGTTGTGGCAGGTTGACAAAATGTAAGTGAAAAGTGCTTAGTGTTCATTAGACATTCGAAGTTCTCATTACCAGGGTGCTTGTTGTCCCGTTATTACTTATAAATAGCAAAACACACCATAAACAACACAACTCCTGTGTGATTGAAGACATCCGGTATGTGATCCAGGTTTGATGACAGCCCAGGCTGCACACCAGGATCGGGGTGGGGGTGCATTTGACAACACCCCTGCACCTGGGCCTGTCCCTCATTACAGCAGTCTCTTAGGGACGGGTTAAATTTCGGGAGTTTCTTAAAGCCCCAAGGGGAGCCTAATGTGCAGCCAGAATTTCAAAACACTCCTCCCAAACAATATTGTTGTGTGCTGTTGAGTTGGAATTGACGCATAATTGGCCCTCCAGTGGGTTTTCAGAGGCAGTAAATCACAAGGGAGGAGAATGCCCAGCCTTCAGCCTCAGAGCAGCTGGTTGATCCAAACTATGTGTCGTCAGGATTGTGCGTGTGTGTGTGTGTATAGTGCCCCGATTCAGGCCATGGTCTTCCAATTACTTGCTGTGCATCAGAGAGCTGGACAATGACTACAGATGACAGCAGAAGAATTGATACCTTCAGTCTTAAACATACCACAGACCATCAAGAAAACAAAAAGGTCTGTCTTAGAAAGGGTAAAACCAAGTTTCTCCTTGGAGGCTAAGATTTTGAGGCTCTTTGGGCACATCAGAAGGACATCATGCTTGAAAAGGTGGAGGGACAGCACAGAAGAGGAAGAACTTGGATGAGATGGGGGCAATGGGGGTAGGTGTGTTTGAGTCAGTGAGACTGACTCAGGATGGGGCAGGCTTCAGAGCGGTTTTACATAGGGTCACTATGAGTTGCAGGCGACTCGACAGCACATAACAACATACACACACAACTATAGTTGGGCAGAGTGGTAAAGAGTTGCATTGGCAACTCTGGTACTCAGAGGTACACAGAGGTACACAGTTCAAGTATACCAGCTGCTTCTCAGGAGAAAGATGGGCAAACTCCTCCTGCGTGATTTACTGCCTCCAAAAACCTGCTGGAGGGTCAGCTACGAGTTCATTCCAACTTGATGGTAAATAACAATAACAACATAACTCAGATATGTTGTTGCAATATTGCATCACATCATATATAATGTATATAAATAATATAGAAATACAATACAATATATGTTATATACAATACAATATATACAATACAATACAATATATTATATACAAGGCAATATTACAGAGTCTCAATTAGTTTCCTGAAACGTGTGTACTTAACACGGAAAAGAGTAGTGATGGAAATCCCAGAGGTATGCGGTTCGAATCCACCAAATGCTCTGCTGGAGAAGGAGGAACAATCTCCTCCTGTACCAGTCAGATCTGATTTTATAGTACACACACACAAAATAATATAATAAAATTTTTAAAAGTAATAAAAAGACGTGATGATGACCAGACCGTACCAGCCACAAGTCGGCTGGGATCTAGGGCAGCAGGAACGGCATCCACTTCCTAAACAACATACCTCCGGGAACTCATACTTTGATAAATGCCCATAGTTCTAGAAAGGCTTCAGGCCTTTTGTTCGCAGGGTCGCTATGAGTCATGCTTGACTCGAAGGCGATCAACCACAACAACAGGGCAGCCCCGTGTGTGGTAAAGCAGCACTGAGCTCCTGAGTCTTGCATGGCTTGAGGAAAGTGGATTGCCAGGCCTTTCTGCCAAGGTGCCTCTGGGAGGACTTGAGCCTTCAACATTTTAGTTCAGTCAGGAGCATTAACTACTTGCATTATCCAGGGACTCCCATTTATATTACAATGTGTAGTTAAAAAATACAAAATTATTAAACATATTCTGAGGCTTCGTCTAACATACTTTGGACATGCTGTGAGGAGGGACCGGTCCTTGGAGAGGGACATCATGCTTGGGAGGGTGGAGGGACAGTGCAGGAGAGGAAGGCCGTCTATGAGGTGGATTGATTCAGTGACTGGGATAATTGGGATGGTAGTGTCAGAGACAGTGCGATTGGCACAGGACAGAGCAGAGTTTAGAGCTGTTGTACATAAGGTCGCTATGAATCACAAGCAACTTGACAGCACATAACAACAACAACAACAACAACAACAAATGTTTGTATATGCACATATATATTTATATAATTTGACACAGTGCTAACAACTCTCTCTACATATATAAATATAAGGAGCCCCAAAAGAACATCCACCAACCCCAAGTCCTGATACTTGTTAATCATCCGGGCCCCAAGCTGACCAGTGCTCCGTGAGCCCACCTCCCCACAACTTTGGGGGCCAGAGAGGACAGAAGGGGACGACTCACCTTCAGGTACAAACATGTTGGCGATGACCATGGAGCCAGCCAGGATGAGGAAGGAGGCCACAGTGGCCCGGCGACCCACGTAGATCATGGTGGTGGTGGCCACCAGCATGGCAGGGATGTCAATGACCCCAAACAGGACCTGCACCAGGTAGATGCTGAGCTTGAACTTCTGCAGGTCCATGGCGAGCCCATAGTAAGCCACGGAGTTGGAGAACCTGGAGAGGTGGCAGAATGGGTCCCTGTCACCTGCTGGGTCACTGTTCTAGGCCTGGGAGGGGACATGAGGCCGAGTGCCCCAGGACTCCTGTCCTAGGGAGTTGAAGTCCTCTGACTTTGCATGTCAGCCCCTCGGAGCCTCTGAACTCTCTGACCGTGGCCTTGGTGCTGAGGCCTCGTGCTCACTGCATCCATTCAGTGGACCCAGAGCAGCCCCAGAGCAAGCGTCGTATCCTTGTCAACTGCATCAGCACCATGACAGCCTCCCACCATCAGAGGCCGATCTGAGCCTCACACCCGAGACTCAGCAGGAGCAAACAGCCTAGGAACAGACGAAGACTCCACACGGCACCTCTCTATTCACTGAGGAAACCTCACCGGAAGGCAGCTGCTTCCTCAGGACCACAGAAAACAGTGGGAGAAGGATATAGACCAAAATTCAGAATCACAAAAATGACCAGACTTACTGGCCTAATCGAAGCTGGTAGAGACTCAAGACTGCAGCCCTCAGACACTCCTCAAATCTGGAACCAAACACCTCCCAGGGATCCCCTTTCAGACAGAAAACAGACAGGCCTAGCAAGAGAATGGCACTCTGAGGTAAGCGCTCCTTAGAACCATCAACCAGAGACCACAAGTGCAGCATTTGCCTAAACACAAAGCTCAGAAGTCCAGAAGGGATGGAGAAGAGGCTGAGTGGAAATGAGGAACTCAGGGAGGGAGCTGGAGGAATGCTGTTACACTGCAAGCATGGCAACCAATGTTCCCAAACAAAAAGCGCATAACTATCAAATAAATGCAAAGCGAATTTCATCTGAAAACTTTCACTCAAACCACAACACATTAAAAAAAAGAAATCAAGACCTCGTAAAAGTTAAAAAAGACAGCTTCTTCAGTCAAGAGGTTCCTAGGGGAACAGGCCCTCCACAGGATGGAAAAGTTCCTGAGGGACAGGGGCCGGTGGACAGGGGCTGGTTGCCTTCCTGCAGCCCTGCGGGCTGGCCATGTTTTATTTCTGTTCAGGCCACATTCTGTCACACCTCCAGGACCTTGAGGGGAAGGAGATTTGGCCCTGGGCTCTCAGCCAGAGGGCCCAGCATCTGCCTCCAGGACCCCGGGCTAGAAAATTGTGACCACATTGTAGGTCAAGCATCTGGCTGCTGACGGAAGGTGAGTAGTTTGAACCTACCAGCCACTCCTTGGGGAAAACAGAGGCAGCCTGCTCCCACAAAGAACAGCTCTGGAAACCTGCAGGGCAGTCCTGCTCTGTCCTGTACATGTTGGGTTGGAACTGACTATAGCTGACCCTCAAGCAGGTTTTCAGAGGCAGTAAAGCATTCAGGAGAAGCTCAGGCCAAGTACTGGTGGATTTGAACTGCATGCCTTTGGGATTGCAGTGTAGCTTCTTACCACTAGGCCGATAGGCAGATAGATTAATTTAGAGATAGAAATAGAGATAGAGATTTGTTGTTGTTGTTAGGTGTCGTCAAGTTGTAGATGACTCATAGGGACCCTATGAACCAAAGGTCAGAGCACTGTTCATAGAGTTTCTGGAAGCAAGCTATTTCAGAAGTGGATGCCACTCCTGCTTCCAAGCTTGTTTTAATCAGGAAGCTCCACCAAACACTGTCCACCATAGGTAACCATTCTCACATTTGACACATCAGTGTCACAGTGTTTAACATCACAGCAACCATAGATAGATACAGATGGAGATAGATGATGAATAGATAGATGATAGATAGATAGAT